GGAGATTGTGGGATGCGTTCTGGTGTGACGTAGGTCGAAAAATATTTCTACATAGTCTAATTCTTCAACAATTTGGCTTTCCTTTCCCTAATTAACCCCGTCTATAATCCTGAAAGGATAATTAGGCCGAACCATTATCCATTCTTCCCATTGTCGGCTCCTTTCACATCAAAGAAGCCGACTCCTTATATAAAAATGTTTTTCTTTCCCTTCTTCCTTCCCAACCCCTTCAATATCTAACGTGTATAAGCAAAAAAATGTCAATATCTCATTGGCATTCTCAACACGACACACAATAATGGCACATCTACACAGAAAACAAACACTTTGAGAGAGTACAAATACTTTGATCGAGTCTAAAATTTCTAGCCTTGTAGAAATTTACTTTTTTTCACATCCTACATGTATTTGTAAAATTGAAACAATGTTTATATATCCCAGGTCCTGAAGATGATCTCAATAAAGATCGAAACGTTGGTACGATAAAGAAAATGTTTTTTTAAAACTTACGTCACACCAGACCATCTCACGACCTCCAAATAATCTTAAATTTATGTATTCTTCTTCGATCTTCGTTTAGGACAAATTAATACAGTTAATTGATCCTCCTTTCCTTGTAAAGCTAAATTTGTTTGCAAATGTTTTGCCAGTCGTGTCCTTTGAATATATTGAAAAAAGTGAAGGGGTGAAAGTAGCTTGTCGGCGTTGTCTTTGTTCTGTCGGCGTCTTTGACGGATTTGAGCCCGGGTTTTATCGATGACCCAGACTTATCCCAAAAATAAATCAAAGAAAGCCGACACAAGACAATGCTGACCCTTTCACCCCTTTACATTTTACAAACTCATAAAAAAGGGGGGCGTCGGTGGCCTCAACGGCTTACGCGTTGACACGGCGCTCATCTCTGTAAGGTAAAGGTCCCGGGTTCATGCTAACCACTCGGCTACCGCGGTCCCCCATCCCGGGTTCGAATCCAGTGGCCCTGCATTCGAAACCGACATAGCTACAAATGGGCTTTTTTTCAAAAACACCGGCACCCCGAGGGTTGATATAACCTCTGCTGTTGCGAACCCTCGAAAAAAATAAAAACTCATAAAAAAGACAGGAAAGACAAAATAACGGTCGGTTTCTTTTGATGTTGTAGTGTATTCCATGGAACATCATCCGACCTTACGTATAACTTTTCATTTTAAAGCTGGTCTCCCAAATATATTTTTTGTATAGTATTCAAAAAATTGAAGAATCGTCTGTTCTATTTTGCAATGGAATGACCGATGATCCGATTGCGCAACCTCACCTGACTCCACCGGAAGTCGACATTGAAAATCCGTCCGTCCCATAAGGTAGTACGAGACGTGTAACTTATATGCCGCCGTTAAGGCGTAACGGCACACCCGCCCTAAAGCCAGGAAGGTCGAGTGGAAACGGTCGAGAGATGGGATAGCCGATTAGTAGCGGATGAAGGTTGTTATTAACGGGATAGAAGAGGCAAACAGATAAGGTCCAGGAATTTGACGCGGCTTAACGCCATGCCCTGGACGAAAGGGAAACCTCGTTAAGTGAAATGGGTCGGAGGCCGACCCTATCGCTCATGGCCGGCTCGTCAAAAGACTCTTAAAAGTTATATTTGAATACGGTCGCGGTGAACCGAAAGGGGAATGGTTTTCAAGATAGATCTCTTTGAAGAGCACTTCCTGGAGGCCGTTTGATGTCGAAAGAGAACCTGCTGCCTCTATTGACTATTTCTCATTCCAAGAACATCAAATTATACAGCCTAATCGGTTCGGTGCTTCGAGAAGGTGTGTACATAGTGTGACGCAAATGCGTGTACCCTAATTAAATAAAGATTTAATTTTAAATTATTTTTATTTTGTGAGGTGTTTAGTGACCTTTAGTCAATTATTATTCGGAGATCGTGAGATGCGATCTGGTGTGACGTAGGTTTTAGAAAAACATTTCATTTATCGTGCCAACGTTTCGATCTTTATTGAGATCATCTTCAGGGCCAGGGATTTACAAACATTGTTTAAATTTTACAAATACATGTAGGAGTGAGAAAAAATATGAATTTATACAATGCTAGAAAATTTTAGAGTAAAAGAAAAAAATGAGTTTATACAATGCAAGAAAATTTTAGATTAAAAAAAAATGAATTTATACAATGCTAGAAAATTATAGATTCAATCAAAGTATTTGTACTCACTCAAAGTGTTTGTTTTCCGTGTAAATGTGTCATTTTTGGTTGTCGTGTTGAGTGTCAGTGAGTTATTGATGTTTTATGATTATATATGTTGGATTTTGAAGGGGTGGGGAGGGAAGTCTAAAATTTTCTATCATTGTATATATTCATTTTTTTCTCACCTCCTACATATATTTGTAAAATTTAAACAATGTTTATATATCCCAACCCCCGAAGATGATCTCAATAAAGATCGAAATGTTGGCACGATAAAGAAAATGTTTTTCTAAAACCTACGTCACACCAGACCGCATTTCACGATCTCCGAATAATTATTTTCATTCCTTTAACTCCTTCATTTATCTGTTGTGTTACTTCAACCGAGGGCTTTTCTTTTGGCTCATGAAACATCAGAGTTTATAGGAGCTCTCACAATGAAAACCTAGTATCTTTAGTTAGTAGTATTTTTCGACCATTTTATTTATTTTTAATTAACGAAAAAACCTGCAACATTTGAACTTACCTCAATATTATTTAAAATTTAAAATAATTATTCTTTTTTTTAAATCTAAAGTTTTGGTTGAGACGAGTCAGTTTCATGAACGGGATTCGAACCCACGGCCTTCGGCTCAATACAACGCTTTCTAACCGCCTGAGCTATCCTAACATCGATCCACTCGGACACCAAGTCCTTTTTTCAATTAATTGAAATAATGAATATTATCAATTATGACCACTAAAAATATATGTATTATTTAAAATACTTAATTTGATATTATTTGAAAATAAAGGAGGAAAAGTATAACATACAAAGTTACAAAATTGGTGTTTTTTTGGGGGGGTTTCATTTTCATGTAAGCGTTTTTAACAAAATGACAAAAATTTATAGGATCTGTCACAATGCCAAACTTGTAGAAAATCGCTCAGTCTGTGTTGTTTTTGTATTTTTTTTATATCTCTAGTGTTAATAGGAAAATAATAAAGAATCAACATTATCAATAAAATCGTTCTGTTTTTGGTTCTTATTTTCATTTTAACGTTTTTAACGAAATAAGATTTGACTCCTCACAATAAAAAATATCTAAAAAATCGTTCATATTTTATGGTTTTTGGCTTTTTTTATGCTTCGTTTTAATAGTAGATAGTAAAGGAGAAAAAATATCAACAAAAAAATTTTTTTGGCTCTTATTTTAACCTAAGGGTTTTTAACAGAATGACAAGTGTTTATAGGAGCTCTCACAATAAAAATTTCAAGATAAAATTTTGTAGTTTTCGCCCCTTTTATTTGTTTATGTTTCATTAAACGGAAAAAATCATAAATTTGAACTTACCTCACTCTATACTATTTAAAATATTTAATTTAGTATTATTTTAAAAGAACAGTTTTTAATAGAATGACAAGAGTGTAAATAAAAGTTATCAGAAAAATCTCGAGTTTTGTAGTTTTCGACAATTTTATTTATTTTTAATTCAACGAAAAAACCCTGCAAACTTTGACCTTACCTGAATATTATTTAAAATTTCACATAATTACTCTTTTTTTATCTAAGGCTTTGGTTGAGACGAAAAAGTCAGTTTTATGAGCGGGATTCGAACCCACGACTTTCGGCTCAATACGAAAAAAAAAAACAAAAAAAAAACAGTATATACTGTTTCAAATGTTATGTTTTGTGCATTTGTAACTTGTATAATTTAAACTATTATCCATTATTATCCATTTTGAAATTATTTATTCACCCAAAGCTTTTACAATTCAAACTGGTTTTTTTTTTTTTTTTTATGTTCTTAAAGTAAGTAAAGTAATGCTCATTGTACAGGAGTGCTTAACTGTCCAACTAATTTCATTCCCAAATTTCGTAGTCCGCTTGACCAATTAATACATTACAATTAATTAAGGTTTTTTTTAGTTGAGATGAAAAAAGTTAATGGCACGAGCGGGATTCGAACCCGCGATCTTCGGCTAGATACGCCGCTGCTCCACCACCTGAACTATCGTAACCTTGATCCACTCGGACATCAACTTCCTATCTCAACCCCACCTTATGAGTTTTCCCTCCTTTTTGCCATTTTTCAGATGTCGTGTAATCGGATTGAGATAGGAAGTTGATGTCCGAGTGGATCGAGGTCACGCTAGCTCAGGTGGTGGAGCAGCGGCGTATCTAGCCGAAGATCGTGGGTTCGAATCCCGCTCGTGCCATTAACTTTTTTCATCTCAACTAAAAAAAACAACCTTAATTAATTGTAATGTATTAATTGGTCAAGCGGACCACGAAATTATTGAATTTAATGATTAAAATGAAGTACACTTCACTAAAGCTCTCCGTGGCCATTTCATTTGTCGTCGAGAATCCAAACCGATTACACGACATTTGAAAAATGGCAAAAAGGAGGGAAAACTCATAAGATGGGGTTGAGATAGGAAGTTGATGTCCGAGTGGATCGAGGTCACGATAGCTCAAGTAGTGGAGCAGCGGCGTATCTAGCCGAAGATCGTGGGTTCGAATCCCGCTCGTGCCATTAACTTTTTTCATCTCAACTAAAAAAAAAACAAAAAAAAAACCCTTAATTATCGTATTTGTCCAACTAATGTTGGGTTTAATTAAAAATCACGGCTTTGTCTGGATTCGAACCCAGCATTGCAAATACATATTTCAATTACTTAATCTTTTTATGTAAGGTTTTGGTTGAAATGAAAAAGTTAGTGTCACGAGCGGGATTCGAACCCACGATCTTCGGCTAATGGCAAATACATGTCGGATGCCACCATAAATAAATTAACCATATGATTATTTTAGTAATACAAAAAAATATCAAAAGTAAAATTGTTTCTAGGCAACACTAAATGACCTTAGTTTAAATTTTAAAATTAGTTAGTAGTGTATTTTGGACTCATGCAGAAACAAATTATCTTAAGTGGAAGTAAGAGTAACTAATTTATTAAATTACTTAGCATTATAAATCAAATTATAAATACATTGTTTTCTTCTGTGATTGCAGTAATTTTGGAATAATTTTTTTCTCTTGAAATTCAAAGTAAGTACAAATATCTACTAAATATTACTAATTTGTTAGTAATTATGCAGTCATTTCATCATTTATGCTAATATTATATACTATTTGAGGTCTGAGGCATTATGGATTATCCGAGGAATAATGAAGAAAATAATTTAAACACGAACCCAAACAGTGGTAGAGGAGAGAATCATGTACCTCCAAATGAAAGTCCGAATATTAATAACAATAATTTAGGTCAAGAAAGATCTTTTGAAAGAGTTCATCCAAGATACATTAGGCGAGAAAATGGTCCTCTACATGAAATTCAAAATGACTCTGCAAGTTACATGATCAATGCATCTCCAGGTCGATTGAATATCGGCCCAGCTATTTCAAGCGAGAATACAATTTCTAATCAGAATGATACTTTAGACAATATTTCAAGTTCTTTTGAAAACATAAATTCCGAATTTCCTTGTTTAAGTGACAACATCTCAGCTCAACCTGGCAGCTCTTCAAATGAGTACCAATCTCGCATTGTATGGAAATCGCTTTCAAGTCCTGCACGGAATCGGCGCTCTAAAAAACTAGCTACAGTCAATAGATCTGATACGATGCCTATTGGAAGTCTAAAATCTACTTGTATGAACATGGCACCATCGGTAATTGAAGGGCCGAGCTCCAACCGAATTGAACGTCCACAACCCGACAACGAACCTAGATATAATAGTGAATCTGACTTGGTTCAAATCTTTTATCAGGATCAATCCCCAGAAGACAGCGATTCGAATCAGAGCTTGGTGACAAATGGGTTAAGGGAATTAACGGCAAGGTCATCATTAGAATCAGCGAGGAATAATTGTAGGGAAGCCGATGGGACAAATGGTTTAGAAGAGGTTCTCAACCTAATGAGTCATGATCGTTTGTATGTACTGTCATCAGGAGGATTACGTTCAAGTCCTTCTGATGTGCAGGGGACGCAACCTGATAATGCTGCACAAAGCTTAGACGAATATAACTTACCTCAGAAATGGGATACAGTGAAGAATCAGATTAATCTAGAAAAAACAACACACTCGGACCCAAGTCCTGGTCGTGTGTCGCCTAAGGAACAAAAGAAATCACTAACAGATGCTTCGGATAGTTCCATAAAGTATTTGAATCAACTGAAGGCAGCACGCATGCTATTACCGGACTATTTGCCTGGCCCCACACCAGAACTGGAAGACCCTCTCAATCTGAAGTCTATATTCAGTTCTGAAACTTATGATGGTAATTCCGAAGGAATCATGATAACAGATGAAGATCTAAAGGCGGCAAATGTGGAAAATGTGTGTCCACTGGATGCTCAACCGCTTTTAGAATCCAAAGAAAAGAAAACAAAAAACGGCATTTGGTTTTATTTAAACCAGATATGTAGCAATTTGGGTAATACCAGTGAAGGATTTTCCACTAACTTTCGCATTGCGAGATCAGAAATTGCCATGCCTAGGTTCCCAGAGTGGGATAATGTAAATTTCAATGAAACCTATGAAGATCTTTTTCAAGAAGACGAACAGTTAGAATTGATAGCAACGAGATCAGAGCCTTTGCTTAAAAAAAATGTAAGGGCCTTACTTTCACACATGAGACAAGTCAATATTGACTATAATGAAAGATTAGAGGACAATGACAGCGAATCACTTAATCAAGACCAGAATGTATACTATGCATTCACTGCATCTGACCGAAAAGGATTTGGTCAAGCATGTGGTGCTCCATTACCACCAGGTATGTACTGTGATTTTATAATTTTTAATTATTTACAATGTGAATATAACCATGAATACTGCAGGTTCAGAGTCATGCAATGATTATATTTATAAACACTATTATTCACACAGTCTTTATTTTTAGGTCCAAAAAAAGAAACAGGGAATAAAACAGACTGCGAGAAAAATCGTAATATATCAAATTTCAATGTGCAAAATTTGAACTTAATTTTACAAAAATTGAGAACATGTGGCTGTGGGCTTGCGCATTGCTTTGGATTTCATAAACGGTCTGAAAAATATCTAGGATCTTTAGGGCAATCTAGAATATCTGCGAGAAAGGCTCACGGAAACAAGGGCGATGATACTGCCCCACAAGACAACCGCCAAGGCATTAATACTATTCTGCCAACGGTGACTACTGTAGTACGTGAAGAAATAATAGACATTAAAGATGCACATGATGAGAAGAAACAAAGACACTGTAAATGTGGTGGTAATAAACAATTACAGATTAGTCGTAAACACGAGAGCAGGCATATATCAGACAAACGCAAGCACAATGATAAATTTGTAATAAAAAAAACAGGAATTTGTGAAAACAGTTCATGCCCATATATGGAAAAAACCAAAACAGGAATTACAAGTGAGTCTCACACTAGTAAACAATTGGTATATAAAAAAGGTTTCTATTTGGTACTCTTAAGTGTTTTTTAAAAATAAAATCATAAATTTGTTAGATTGTATGTTATAGCAAAAGTTTTCTGACAAACACAATCAATCATATGATGAATAAAAATTTATTGTATGCCAAAAAAGCTACAGATTTTACATTCTAAGTTCTTTTATTTATAGTTTAAAAAATTAAACTTAGTTCTCCTACTGGGAATATTGAGTTTAAAGTTATAACAAAAAACATCAAATTAGGAATTATAAGAATGTGAACAAAACACATTCATTTTTCTCATTCCTAAAGATCTTAAACCTTAATGACCCATCGGCCTTCTTCCTGTCATGTTTAAAAAGTTTATTACCCATCCTAGATTCATCCTTCACACCAAATGACTTCCTTCCTCATCATTCCATGTTCCGGCAAGGTTTTTGACTCATTGACACCATTTTCTTGAGAGCAAAGTGTGTCACTTGGGTGCATTCCTAGATTCAGCCCAGGCAGGGTCTGGCACATAGGAATCTTTAAAAACTTATCTTGGAATCCTACTTATTTGACCACTGCTTTAGAGTCAAGTCAGATACTTAGACATACCTGACCTGATACTTAGATACCTGGACAGCTCATGACATGGATTCCCAACATAAGACTTAAGAGAGAACAACTTAACAGAAGAAACACAAAGACTTTCAGGAAATAAAGACCTAGACAAACGCAGACTATCAGGACCAAAAGTCTGAGAAAATCCAAAGACTTTCTTCACCACCAAAATACCCAAAATGCCACACAAACACAACATCAAAAGACAACCACACAGACTTTCAGAAACAAAAGATCCTGGATAACTGCAAAGACTTTCAGTATCGAAAGAACCTGGACCACAGCAAGACCTGGAAAACTGCAAAGATTTCCAGGGCAGAAAGACTCGGTAACCTCAAAGACTTTCATGACCAAAATCTGTTTTGACTGTCTCATTGATACAAAACATTACTGTGACTTCTCTGGACTTATGGAACTGCGGGGTTCCATCAAGCCAATATCCAACATGTCGAATCCTTCCAAAAAAAAGACCTAAGACAAATTGTCAAAGCCACCTACTGAGTCACTAACCTCACTATCCACAACATACTCAACATCCCTTTTGACCATGAACTAATTTGATCCTTCAAAAAGTATCACCCCAAGCTTAATCCATCCTAACATTATTGCCCAAGCTTTATCTACACTTTCACATCCTGAGAATCTGCCATGTCGCCTTAAACATCGATGGCCCCGAGACTTCCTCACCCCTTAATCCCTCCCTAATATTGTGTGGCTAGTTGTTTTTAACCTGTGTCCTTTTTTAAAAGCATAGGTTCAACTAAAAGGTAAAAAGAACAGTTAGTTTTTGAACAATGTCAACTATGAGTTTATGGAACAAATATGTTACTCAATGTGCTAAAATATGCTTACTATCTTATATGCTAATCTAATAACATTTAGTAACATTTGTGGTCAGGTAGAAACAAAAAAGTAAAGAAAAATAAAAAACTATATATTTGGTATAAATTTTTTGATAGATGTCAGGTGAATGAAAAAATCATTGAAATAAATTTGTAGGTTTTGATACTGAGGTAAGGGAAATTTTGAGAGAGAAGCCAAAGCACAGAGAATTGCCACTCAAAGGCAAAAAAGATAAGCGTCACAGGCTAGAGAAAGGTAAATTTAAACTGAAAGGATTCAAAGCAGAGAGGAAAAGGGGTAGAGGTCACAAGGATAGGTCAAAAGAAGGAAGAGGAAAGGTTGTGGATGGTGACCATGTGGAGGAAGAACATACCAATGACGATGAAGATATCGCTGAAGGAGAAGAAGAAGATATGTCTTATGACTATTACGGCTGCGGTGACAATAATTTTCAGGAATGGCGTCTTCGTGACAAACTCGAAGATAAACTTAAACTTGATTGCCTATTACAGCAATACTTTAGTTTAAGAATTGAATACGACAGCCAGAACCAAAATATTATGAAAATAATACAGCAAAAGATGGACCTCTTTCACCAAATACGAGCTGTGCGTAATTTTAAATTGACTTTATCCCTCTGTCTCGGACCACTTGTTTGTAGAGTGATGTATCATAGAGACGTGATGAAATGGGCAACACGTGTAAGTTATATTTAATACTATAATTTAAAAAATAAGTTTATTTATGAGTATTTTAGATCATTACAAATACTATATAATTTGAATGTTAAATATTGTCAACTGCTGATTTATATAACCTCAATCTGTACATGGAAGCACACATATACACACTTCAAGGACTACACTTCTCGCAGTCCACCGGCAATTTTAGCTTTTGTAATTTACAATAAATTACTGGCAGGTCTTGAGAATCACCTACTTGAGGTGTGGGCAGTCTGGGGTCAGATTGGTCTTATCCACTCAGTCACTGAGGTTGGACTCCAGGTGCTAACAGCTAGATCATTTCAGCACCTAATGCAATCCATTCCTAATCTAAATCCATTCACACTTACTTAAATACATTCACTCCTTTTTACATGTTATTCACTCATTTATGGTGGTGGAATATTCGATATTCATCCATTACCCTCTACACATATGATGTAACTAACCTAATTGATCGTTGATGGGGGTAGTGAATAAAACAACCCTGTTTCCTCCAAGAATCAGAACAGGGAACCCAAATACTAACTGATGTGCTTAAACACAATTCTCATATTGGGTGGCATTCCTATGCACTTATAGATGGAGCCAAGGAATCCATTTCAATTGAGACACATTGAGTTTGTACACACAAACGCGGGCTTTGGTCCAAAAATAAGTGTCCATGTGTCAGCCTCGCATGGCCTATTCTTAATGGTGTAAGGATGACCCTTCTTTTACAAGTCAGGCCCTCCAAGGCCCACTTTTCAACAGTGCTCTTGATATGATGCCGATCAATCCCACCAACACTATCACTTTTAATCATGTTTTTTATTATCATGCTTATTGTTAACTGCATAAATCCAACGGCTAATTAAAATGATACTATCACAGTAAATTAGTTTTAAACTGATCTAGGGTTCTAAATCTCAATATTTAAAATGAGTTTTAAAATCAGTCAATCTTGCATATAGACATTTTAAAGAGCAAGTTTTCATATATATTGTTTTTACTGTTATTTATTCTATTTAGTAATTGTTTGTGCTATCTTCCAGGTTTTTTAATTTGATTTATTGTTTTGGAATTTTAGGGCCAATTCCCTTCAGTGTTTGAAATTTTGAACTTCGAGTTTTCCAGCTTCATGCACTTGTTTTTACACGAAATCAATGAGCTGAAACGTGAAGATTACAGGTCAATAACTGTAATGTTGGCAATTGCGACCCATATGAGTAAAACGCACGACGGTCTCATGCTACTCCTACATAACGGTCATGCAAGATCCTTAGTGGTTAATATATTAAGAGGTCTACCTTATTTGACACATTTCCGTCTGGAGGCTGCAAAAAGGTTTTTTGATAATTCAATTTTCAATATTAAGTTTTAAGACTCATTTTTGTACTTATTTCAGAGCGATTCTTCTGTTGTTGTATAATTTATGTACTGACCCTTATGGGCTCCTTCTACTTCAAAATGAAAAATCTATAATGAACGAAGTGGAAAATTATGTCCTCTCTGATTTAGACTACGACAAGAAAGTCTTTGGCTTGAAGTTTCTTGATTTATTGACGAAAAGAGTCCTCAACCGAGATATATTGATAAGAATTTTACCTTTCGTAAGTTCAAATTTAAATGTTAGCATCAACAGAAATTCTCTTGTTAGCTTCAGGATCTCATACAATAAGAAAATAAAAATTCATTAACCTTAAAAAGTCTAACTTTCCTTTTTCTTTTTCGTTTCTTGTATGGGAGACTGTTATGATAGATTAAGCAGGTTTTTAACTAATGTTGATTTTCTACATAAAAATTTATCAACGTTTTATATTGCAGGTACCAAAATATGCAATAACGTCTGACTCTTGTGATGCTGATTTCCCAGAAATCCGCCTCCTAGCTGCAAAAGTTCTCAGAAATATCATCAAAGCGAAGGCGAAAATACTATTAAATGAGAAAATGCGCTTATCATCGTTGGACAGCCGACGCAGGGACTATTTCCCTTACGAGCATTGCGCTTTTATCAATAAGAGATTAAAGAAACAGGCATGCTAACAATCTGTGCCAACTCGGGCAGCAACGTCAATTATTATTTAATAGCTGACAAACTTAATGAGTGATTTGTTTGTTAATAGATGTTTGTATTTCACTGTTGTGATGAACAATATTTCAAATTTACCTGTAGCGAATAACGCAGAGTCAAAACAAACCAAACAGCTCTTAACTACTAAGAAAATATATATTTCCAGCCGTTATCTATTTGATTAAAAAGTTCTAATTCAAAAGTTTATACTTGTATTTTTTTTATCATGTTATTGTTCATACTTTAATATAAAAAAAAAAAAAAAATAGAATTAACAATTTTAAACTTGTGATGGTGATTCCAGACTGGAAAAGTCAACTAGTTTTTAACGCATTGCCTATTGAATTCTGTTGATGGAAAAATGGAATTGATAATTGGTGGAGCAATAAAGGTCCATTCTATAAGGTATAATGACGAGTATTGTATTATAAGAGAATTCAAGTGTTGGGCGAACAAGAGAGGTGAAGAGTTTTTAAAAATTTTTGTAATGCAGATTAAAATTCAAAGTGTTTTCTGAGCTTTTTGAAGTGTGATTTGGTCAGGACTTAATGCTCTTAAACATTTAGAGATCATCAGAAATGAAGAAGCTCTGATAATGTATATAAAGGTATAATGCTAATGCCGAAAGGTTAGGCAAAAATAAAAAATGTATATAAAGCTGTTTGGACAGTTGTAAATAAACACTGTGGAATGTGGAAAAACAAAACAAAAGAATATTATTGAATTCCTAAAATTGGTCCAATAGAGATTAGTAACTGTTTAAATAAGCGGTCTTTTATGAAGTTGAAAATTTAGTAAAATTTAGCAATTTAAAGATCAATCGATAGCTCTTAGTTCGTCATTCTCTGTTCTTATACCAAACAATATTGAAAGAGCCTAGAGTCAGTTGTAAATAAAGTTACAAAAAAGTTCATATTAGATCCTGATAATATCCTTTATTTCCTAGTTTGGTAATGCTTTTCACAAATCAAATCAATTTTTTGAGCTCCTTAATCTTTCCCAGTACAATTAAACATTTTTCAGCAGTTCCTATCTATAAAAGTGGTAATAAACATGGTTCTAGCAACTACAGACATTTCTTTTCAATCTCTTTTTCAAAAATCTTTGAAGCTGTTTATTTTAATAGGTTATATCATTTTCTTGAAAAATTGAATTTACTTCATCATAATCAACTTAGTGCAATAGTGGTTTTAGAAAAAATAAATCAATTCTAGTTATCTTTGCCTTGCTTAATTTTATTTTTCAAATCAATCAAAAACTAGTTGCTGCAAAAATTCTTTGACTATGACTTTCTATGATCTTTTCCTACAAAAAATGAGAAAACTAGATATTAAGATACAACACTGGACAAATCAAATTTGTTAAATCGAACACATTCACTTAAATTACAGCTTTACAATACATAACAATTCCAACGTTTGTTACAATAAAATTACATCGCCAAGTCTTTGTGCCAAACAAGGAGTGCCACAAGGTTCCATTTTAGATCCTATGCTCTATAAATTATTTACCATGTCATCTCTCATTTATCTCTTTTTGCGAATGATGCTGGAAAACTTTTTTGTGGAGTCGATTCAGTTGAATTAGGAAAAAATTGAACACGACTGATAAATTCCAATGATTTTGAACGACAAAAATTTTAAATTGACCTGTTGAGTATGTAATTATTAATTTTTGCTTGCATACATACTTGATGCTGCTGATTAGTATTTTATCCTGTTGTTATCAAAATAACAAATTTATAATTAAAATCAAGGTTGGACTAAAATGAGAGCCTTGAGGTACACCAAAAGAAGCAATGAATTTTTAGCTATAAGCAAAAAAATGACACTATGTACATTTTCTCAAAATGGAATTTATCAGAGATGTATCAATGTTGGACAAACTTGACAAAATTGTAAATTGATAATTTTCTGACATTTCTATACTGTTAATGACATTTCAGCTATGGCCTTAGAGATTGGAGCCAAGTTAAGACAGTCTCCAGCCAAAAGCATTTAGAAACTCTCTAAAAACTTACCAATTAATGCATCTTTTATTAAATTATTTAAACTTATATGATCTTTGAAATGTAAATTGATTTTTAAGCGACAAAAGTTTTAAATTGACCTGTTGAATAGTTATTAATTTTGAATTATATAAATACTCGATGATACTGAAAAGTATTTTGTCCTGTTGTTATCAAAATAAAGATTTATTATTAAAATTAAAGATGGACTAAGGAATGAACCTTGAGGTACACCAAAAGAAGCATTGAATTTGTGGCTATTAAGAAAAACATGACACTATGTACATTTTCTCAAAATGGAATTTATCAGAGATGTATCAATGTTGGACAAACTTGACAAAATTGTAAATTGATAATTTTCTGACACATCTCCACTTTTGATGACATTTTAGCTCGGCCTTGGACTCTTGGAGAGTGGCACTGAGTCGAGACAGCCTCAACCGTCCTCAACCTCCGGACCCTGGTTACAAAAACAGATTTATCCGTGTATGACTGGAATTTCTGAATTTTAACTGGTCACTGGTCAAGTCTCTGTCACGTTTTGTGTACAACAACCTGTTTTCTACGCATTCTCAAGAATTTGATCAAAAAGGTTTTATTCGACGCAAGTTCTAAGTTTTGGACGCCTCTTCTGAGTTCAGAGTGCCAAGGTATTTTAAACGTTTCAACGTAATTTTCCTGGCTTACAGAGTAAATATTTTGGTCAGGTCTTGTAAAATCCTCATTTCCAAAACGAGAAAAGGTGGAAAAATAATAGAACTATTTTAAAACGCAAACAATCGTAAAGCATCACTTGATTAAATTTTGACCGTCTAAATATTTTCACTTGTACTATTATTTTATTGTTTGCTATTGAAAATTGGCCTGAAGTCTGATCGTTCCTGGTCCGCCTGTTCTCGCTCTGCCCTACGTCTCTCCAATCACAATGACCCGAGGATAAATTTAGTCACGACTTTGGTTCATAAATCGTCTTGGGTTCTTAAATAAGTCAGTGGCGTTTTTTATTTGTTAAATAATTCGATTTTATCACTCTTGAGTTTTGAAACAATGTCTATTTAGAGTTGGTGATGGGTGTTGGTCTGTGAGTCGGTGGACTCATGCTGAATCGGCACACTCGCTGGTTGAAAGACAGACCCAATATGTGACACGATGCCAGTTCAGCATGAATGTTTATTTATACACACTCTGAAAAGGAATTAGTTAAGGTGTCACGATGACTAAATTCAAGCTGTTGACGTAAATAACTGTCAATGATACGAGATGTCGCAGAAACTATTTAACATATCTCATACAAGTGTTTCAACGCAGAGAGCAGCTGGTCATGTTTGCCCATTCTGTAATGAACTGACTGCAAAGAATTTATTTACGCTTCCCTAACTTAGATTTCCTCCTAAAACGCAACAGAAAATACACTCAGACAAAATGGGGGAAGAAAAAAAAAAAAAAAAAAAAAAAAAAAAAAAAAAAAAACGGAAAGACACATTTATTTGTTTATTTTCTATAACTATGTATAAAGATTAATTGTGGTTTTAACACATAAACACAATGTTAATAATTTGTGTAGTTAGTAAGTAGAATGTTACTAATCCTTTTAAACTCTTAGAGGTTCTCTGGATTAAAAATAAAGAAAATCACTTCACTTTCATCCTTTCCAGAGCCAACTTGTCGAGTGAGTTGTTTTCTTTGATGAAACATAAATTTGAGTAAATAATTGTTTTTTTCTTCTTAAAAACCATGGTTGTAAGTCGAGAAAATCTTTCCTGGGCAGATGCTTTGACCACTGACGGATGTAACTGATGTAAGTCTTGGGTGTGCCATGCTGTACCATCCATGATGGTCTACAATAGTTTAAGACCATTGGAAGTTTTGATCGAAGGGAAGGTAGTGGTTGACCAGGATGATTGATTTATTGCTCTTACTGCACTATGGACTTGTAATTTATTGGATTTCTAGTCAACTCCAAACGGTTCATAATGTAAGGGTGAGTTTTAAAACATTCATCAGAAGGCTTCGTGAGATATATCTGTAGATGTCCCGCATCAGCTTTTCTACTACTGGAGAAGCATCGAGTAGAAAGGTGACTATTCGAAAATCAACCTCTCGCTTGTACAATAATGGGGGGACTATTCTCTTCATTTGGTTTGGTTTTTGTGGCAATCAGATGACCGGTATCTTGTGTGGAGTAGATGTGGAGAACGCGCTTGCGTTTTCAAAGACAGTCTAGTTGGTTACGTTATGGGGTAGAATCAATGTCCCTGGCTATACCGAACTAATTAATACAGAATGGATTTTTGATTTCACAAAGGTACAAGAACTGCACTGAATTGGCTTGCATCCCGAAATAAATCCCATAGAACACTTTTGGGAAATGATAAAGAAACGAGTTAGACATCCTCAACATTAAACAGCTTCAACTGTTCTTAAGAGACTGACTTAAGGCCCTCTGTGAGGCCAGCGAAGTAATATGCATTATTAACATAAAACTAGGTAATTGATTGTCAGTTAAATTTTAATCCATATTATTTTCATGTGTTTTGATGAAGTTTCTTTCAAACCATTATAATTAAATGATTTTTAAAAATCAAAACTCATGAATTTCTGATCTCGTTTTTATTTGGTTTACATTAAAATAAGTATATTGTAATTAATATAATAATAGAAATACATATAGTTTGAAATGAAGCAACAAACTATGAGTGTCTGGTTTTTTGTCTTTGAGCATATATGTAAATATAGAGGTTATGTAAAGACGTTGTTTTGCTTATAGCTGACAACCCAGTTGTTCTTCAGTTGAACATAAACTGAAAAAGTATTACAAAAAAGTGTTACCTGATGATCTTCAAAATGGGTGGTAGGCTGAGTTCAACTGAGAAGTGGTTTTATAGAGGTTCACTATGACAGTGAAGTGGAGTCACTTTTTTGATTATTGTTCTTGTATCACATCAATGAAAAAGTTTCTAGCGCTAAGCTGGGTCTGAACAGAATTTGACCAATGTTTTCTCACAAAACGACCTTTGCAATCAAAATACCATGTTTATAATATCATGTTCCATAATTTGTTATGCTACTTTGGGGTTATAATCAGCATGAAGTCTTAGAAAGGGTTTAAAGGTACTGCTTAAAAAAAATTATCTCTACACACAAACACCTCTACTTATTTGGTTAATATTGAAACCTCCGTTGAATCAATTTTAACACATTCAGTGCTGTGACCTGCATGGAGGCCGAACTGGCCCAACTCACCAGACAGTTGAAAATTGAGTTACCAGGCCACATTGAATGTGTTAAATTTTGTCTGAGGGTGTTGTCCCTTCTTGGTCATCGATGGTAAATGCTGTAGTCATGGAGTTGATAAGGCGTAAGGTTCTCTGGTTTGATTCTTGGGGTATGTCTCACCATTACTCTTATTAGTTTGACCCTTCCATAGACAATGCAGTATGGCATCCTTTTATCATTTTTTACCTTCTGGCAGAATTGCCAGCACAATCTTAAGTCTTATGTCTAAGAAGTTGTGTTTTTAAGAAATGCCCAAAAAATTCAGCACTGGAAATACAAAAGCAATTGCTGCCAAGGCACGTAAAGCAGCAGTACGGGAACAGGAACTCGATAAGAAGAAACAAGAATTGGAAGATGCTTTGTGGCAAGACGATGACAAGAATGTGCAAAGGAAGCAACAGAGAAAGGTATGAAAATACCAAACATGTTTTGCTTGTTATTGGGCATGTTTTATTAAGATAACATTTTTTTTCCTAGGAAGAAAAAGAGCGTAAAAAACAAGAACTTTTGGATAAGAAGGCATCTGCCAAAGCACTTTTAGAAAAAGAATTAAATGAAATCAAACCAATTTCGAAACAACCTGCGTCAAAGGTGTTCCGGATACAAATCCAGGTACAGTATTTATAATTAATCAATTACTAAATTGCATATTTAATTAATTATTATAATAAATACATATAATGATTTTAAAATAAAAAAGTGAGTTGAGAATGCAAAAAGTTATTTAACCTTATTAAATTGTAGTGGTCGAACCACTTTAGAATTCTTTTTGTTTATTATTCTCAATTAAAATTTCTTTCGTTATGCCATTGTTTTCAGGAGGAGCTTGAAAAACGCCAAGCTGCAAGTCTGGCAACTCAAGACAAGGGCAAATCACGCATTGAACTGCCTATGCCTTTAGAAGAAAATTTAAATCAATTGAATAATGATGTCATCGATGCTAGGAATATTACACAGGCTATTGAAGCACTGAGGTAAGCTTTAAAGTTAAATTTAAATAATTAAACCTTAAAAACTTATAAAACAAATTACTCCATCAAGCTACAGATAACAGCCAATATTTTTATGTAGTGGAACACGTTTATCAGGACCCCAATTATCCTGACTTCCGGGCCCGTTTGTTAAAATATTTTTTATAAATTTTGCATAATTCTCAGTGTATGTATATTATTTTTTTAAAATTCATAATTCAACTATGAACATCATTCGAAATTCGTAAAGGCCGCCAAATCGCCCTTCCACTTGTCACATGATTGAAGAGCCCAGAGAGGCCAGTCACGTTTTTGTAAAAAAAAAATGAAAATAAATAAAGAAAAAAAAAGGTGTATCCTATTTTAAAAGATTAGAAATTGTTGTGTCGAGTTGATCGTATGTTGGCTTCCATCGAAAAGGTTTTTTTTTATAATGTATATTTTTATTTGGTATTTTTTACGTATGAAATTTTCAAGAAACACATGTCCGGATTTAAACAAAAATGTGTTCTATGATTCCGACTGTAGAATGGGGCAATAGCCCAGGCCATTAGTATACTGTATTAACATTAATTATTCTGATAAATTCATCAAACATAAAAAAATCTATTTGTTATTCAGTGTGGAGAAGCCACCCCAGGATAGACACATAGAAAGAAGACTAAAGGCGGCCTATGCAGCTTACGAGGAGAAAATGATGCCAATTGTTAAACAGGAAAATCCAAGCCTACGGTTTTCACAGCTTAAACAACTTATATTTTCACGCTGGCAAAGCTCTCCTGAAAATCCTCTCAACCAACTACACAACGGTTAAAGAGTGTTATGTGACTTTTCCCCGCACTATTACAGCGTCTTTGAATAGTTATGTACAGAACATCTTGGAATATAAAATTATTTTTCTTTTTTTTTTCAATCACATGTATATTTATTTTTTCAAATACATAAATTACCAATGAAATTTAGGTCTTTTTGTTTAAATTTTGTTAATGTAAAAGCATGTAGGATTTCCCATTATGAAATATCATTTGAGGAAAGTGCCTGTGCTAAGCTTTTTTCCTTTATTATACAATAAAATATTAGCGTGATATTACATTTATTTTGAAATTTCATTACACCAGCCATTTCTAAGGTTCATTGAATTGAGTGGATGATAACTGATGATAAAAACATACATACAATTAATAAAATGTTGAAGATGTTTAGAATATGTTTGATATTTTGTGTGAAATATACATGAATTTTAAAGATGAGAACGAATTATTTTCATTATAAGTTTTGAAAGTAAAAGAATTTTATCAATTGGATAAATCCCTTTTATTATTAATTATTTTATTTCTCTTCATGCTCCAAAAAAGTATAATACATAATATATATTTACAAAAATAATAAAAAAACTTATTGTTAAGGTGACTCAAATTTAATTTTACAGTAAATTAAAAAACCACTGCAAAGTTCTTTTTTGACAAGGTGAATTTGGTGATTGTGCCCACCAGACTGAGATAATGAATAACTCTCGCTCTTGCAGCCTCCAGTGATGGGCAGTGCACTACGGAACCGTCGTTTAGGTAGGCAACACAAAATGCAAGGTCGAGCTCTGAAATAGTCATCAAAAGGTTTCGTGAGAATAGCCTAGTCTCAAGACGTCCCGAATCAGGTTCTCTACTACAGGAGAGGCATCGAGTAGAAAGGCAGCTATTCGCAGATCAGCTTGAACACTTGAACAATGGGGGGATGCCTTCTTCACTGATGAGTGCCGGTTCTTTTTGTGGCAATCAGGTGGCCGGGATCGTGTGTGGAGAACACTTGATGTGAGTCAGAGCCGTTTCAAAGACAATCAGTTATGGTATAGAGTGGAATGAATGTCCATGGCCGTACTGAAACTGATCGTACTTGACTGCATTAAGGTACATTGAGCTGATTCTTCTAGAAGCTGTGGTCCCATTTGCAACATTTATACCAGACAAATTTGTGTTAATGCATGATAATGCTCGACTGCTTATCGAGTTGGTGCACATTACTTGGAGGATGTAGGGACTACCACAAAGAATCGGCCAGCATCCAGACATGAATGCCCTGGAACACTTATGAGACATGATAAAGAGACGGGTTTGACATGGTTCGCCGCCTCCAACAAGGGTTGAACAGCATCAAACCGCTCTTAAGCCCCCATTAAATGAGACGTGAAAAACTCTCATATGCTTATGCTTTAGACCCTCCACAAGGCCAGAGAACGAAATTAATATGCGTTATTAAGAGCTAAACTAGGTAATGAATAGTTAAATTTTAATCATCACTAAATGATTTTCCGGTTTTTGTGAATTTTCTTTCACCATCATAATTAAATATTTTTTATTAAAACTCATGAATTTCTGCTCTCCTTTAATTTGATGTACCTTAAAATAAGTATGTTGTAATTAATGTAATGATAAAAATAACATTGAAACACAACAAAATACGAGTGTCTGGTTTTTTTTGTCTTTGAGTGTGTATCCATCATATTAAATATTTTTTTAATAAATAACAAACGTAAAGAGTAAATTAATATAATTAATTTATTATCAAAAGTGTGTGGTGATTAGTGACCGTTAATCGATAATTATTCAGAAATCGTGAGATGCGGTCTGGTGTGATATAGGTTTCAGAAAAACATTTTCTTTATCGTGCCAACGTTTCGATCTTTATTGAGATCATCTTCAGGGCCTGGGATTTACCTACATGTATTTGTTAAATGGAAACAATGTTTGTAAATCCCAGGCCCTGAAGATGATCTCAATAAAGAGCGAAACGTTGGCACGATAAAGAAAATGTTTTTCTGAAACCTACATCACACCAGACCGCATCTCACGATTTCTGAATTATTATCAAAAGGTTGAAAAATCCCAAGTTCTCCGTGGTTGAAATATTTTATTTAATTTTGTCTATTACATGGATGTTCGGGCTTACGGCCCATCAACAGACCTAAACATGGAAAACCTCATGGTACAATTGCCATCCGAAGATACACACATAAGTAATTTACAATTTTTTTAATAAATAAATATACCTGGACTATGCCATAGATACATATATATTTCCATCCCATTTTGAGGGGGATGTCGTCATCGGCAGAGGGTATATATAAAAAGAATCTCATTATTATGTGTTGTACCCATGAGGGGACTAAAATAAAATTATTGTTATTATTACCGTTTTTAATACCATTTTGACGACATTCCCCTCAAAATGGGATGGAAATAAATATGTGTCACGATCTGTTCTCGATTCAACAAGACGGGACCAACTCTGAATCCTTATTATGAGAAACAGAGCCCCAGAGGTCTTGATCGAACCTGAATACAGCCGATCAGGTGCCTTTTTAAAATAAAATTTAATTAAAGTTTAAAAACAATTTATTAAACACACAAGAAAATAATAATTAAAACCAATAAATTTCCTTTTAAATTTTAAACAATTGAAACTTTTTATAAATTTAAATAAACAGAAATTTCCTACAAAGCGTTTGCCAGACCATTTAGAACAAGGGTGGATACGTACTCACTATTTCCAGTCAATTCGCAGTGGACCGAAGCACTCTATTTTAGGGAATACAACACTTTTGAGGATCGCACACTTCTCTTTTCTCTCATCTACACGGAATCTTGTTCACCTCTCTGGTTCGACTGTCTCTTCCCTATTTTCTTTTATTTTTTTTACTCTAAGCCTAATCATGGCATCTAAATCATAACATTGTCACTTTGAAATGAATTGAAATGTGACATATGTATCTATGGCATAGTACAGGTATATTTATTTTTATAAAAAAATAAAATTGTAAATTACTTATGTGTGTATCTTCGGATGGCAATTGTACCATGAAGTTTTCCATGTTTAGAATCTGTTGATGGGCCGTAAGCCCGAACGCCATGTAATGGACAAAATTAAATAAAATATTTCAACCACGGAGAATGTGGGATTTTTCAACTTTTTGATAATAACTGCTACGAACCGTGGATTTTAAGAAAAATATGATATTAATTTAGAAATTGCAGGGGCGTCGATGGCCGCACGGTTTAGGCGTTTTCACGGCGCTCAACGCTGTAAGGTAAAGGTCCCGGGTTCGAATCCAGCGGCCTTGCATTCGAACCCGACATACTTACATATGCTCTTTTTTTTAAAAACACCGGCACCCTGAGGGTTTATATGACCTCTACTGTTGCGAAGCCTCGTAAAAAAATTAAATAATTAGCAATTGCATAATAAAAACAACTAAATAACGATAAAAGAATGAGCAAAACAAAAAGAAAGAAAAAGAAAAGAAAAGCGCGTAAACAATGAGCACGAACGATCATGCATCGGCCATAAGGGAAAACATGTTGACTACAACAAAAACTAAATTTCTTTCGAGATTGTCAGATTCAGAATTTTCCTTAGAAACAGACACATTAAACCAATTAAAACAAACCTTTGATCAGATGATTAAAAAAATAACAGTACCACAGGAACAACGACTCCCATGAGAAATTACTTCTTGCCAAAAACCGTCGACATAACAAAAACGTTAACGGAAAACCTTGATTTAGCAAATTCAAAAATCGCCCTTAGCGAATTTCAATTAGAATAAAGTTACAAGTACGTACGTCGAGATCTGTGAGCCCCCATTAGACGTGAAAAATTCACATTAAATTGGTTATCAAAATTGTTTTCCAAAAATGGTCCATTTTTTCTAATTTGGGTTTTTTAAGCGAAAAAACTGCCCACAGCTGCTTATGATAGAAACCTTTTTACCTGTCATTCCTGAAATATATTCTGTACATAAATGTTAAATTAACTTTTTTGAATTAATATTTATGAAAGGTTGAGATAAAAAAGTCAGGGTCATGAGCGGGGTTTGAACCCACGATCTTCGGCTAAATACGTCGCTGCTTTACCACTTGAGCTTTCGTGACTTCGATCCACTCGGGCACTAACTTTGAAAAATGGCAAAAAGGAGGGAAAATTCGAGAGGTGAGGTTGGGATGGGAAGTTAGTGCCCGAGCGGATCGAAGTCACGATTTCATTAAAAGTCTGAGAAAATATCCATTTCCAATATTGGCCATTTTTCGTGCAAAAACCAGGTGGTCGATTTTTTTTAGGGGCAGTTTACTGAAAGCGTTTTTTTAAACATTTTATGTATCCAATCTAATTTAATACAATCAAGCTTATTATTTTCTTATCCTAGATAAAAAATCAAATCCAGTGATATATAATAACCTTGAAATATATGAATGAATGAAATAAAGCAAAGGTAGAAACCATATTCTTCAAATATGTACAGGGTGTCCTTTTTAGGTGGCCCGGCTGAATTTCTCTTGAACCAATGATACTATCAAAAAACAAAAAATACCTATTTAATCTTTTTTTAGTCTAGTTTCACATTTTTACTTTTTTATCGGAGAAAAATTATACAGGGTACCTCAGGTCCAGTTCAACTGCAAAATTTCAAATAAGATCCTTTTATATCCTGACAGATCATTTTAAATTTTTTTACGCCGAAAGCATTGGTGCAATCGGATTTTAAATTGATCAAAAAATAATAAAACTATGGCAAAAAAAAAACCCGCATCGTAATTTCGACGAGGAGCTGAATATTTTACTGTATTAATCCAAATATGTTTAGCGGTCATAATTGACCATATTAATTATTTCAATTAATTATTCTTTTTATGTAAGGTCTTGGTTGAGGTGGAAAAGTTAGTGTCACGAGCGGGATTCGCACCAACGACCTTCCGCTCAATACGCCACTGCTCTAATCACTTGAGCTACAATAAGCTATAATAGATGCAACAAATGTTCACGAAAATCCTAATTCCTCTCTCCGAAATGTTGGAAGGGTTTTAGGTCTTTCAAAAAATAAAATTAGAGATGTACTCCGGACTTAGAATTTTAAGCCGTCCCGACTCATCTTGCCCAGGGACTTCGGGAGTCAGACTATGACAGGCGTATAACGTTCCTTGCACAAATGCCGATTTGGGAAGCTGAAGAAAACGTTCTTACATACATCCTATGGACCGATGAGTCCAAGTTCACCTCTAATGTCATACTAAACCATGGGAATTTTCGAACGTGGGCAGAGGAAAATCCGAGAATTTCGTACTCTTGTCATCATCAGGTGGTCCACAGTATCAACGTTTGGTGCGGACTTCTCGTAAATAAATTAACTGGGCCTTATTTCTACAAAAATAATTTAAATGGTGCTCAGTTCCTCAATTTTATGAGAGAGGTTTTACCAACACTGTTAGATGATTTCCTCTGAAACAACGACAAAGAATGATTCTCCAACTTGACGGATGATGCCACGCACACAATTCTTTGCAGGTGAGACTTCCGGAAAAGGCGGATAGGACCTCATGGCCCGATCTGCTGGCCTCCTCGGACCCGATTTAACTCCATTTGACTATTTTCTGTGGGGCCATTTAAAAAATAATGTCTACGTCAATCATAATCCAGCAACCTGTCAGGATGAATAGGATCGTATCTGAAATTTTGCAGTTGAACTGGACCTGAGGTACCCTGTATAATTTTTCTCCGATAAAAAAGTAAAAATTTGAAACTAGACTAAAAAAAGATTAAATAGGTATTTTTTGTTTTTTGATAGTACCATTGGTTCAAGAGAAATTCAGCCGGGCCACCTAAAAAGGACACCCTGTACATATTTGAAGAATATGGTTTCTACCTTTGTTTTATTTCATTCATTCATATATTTCAAGGTTATTATATATCACTGGATTTGATTTTTTATCTAGGATAAGAAAATAATAAGCTTGATTGTATTAAATTAGATTGGATACATAAAATGTTAAAAAAAAACGCTTTCAGTAAACTGCCCCTAAAAAAAATCGACCACCTGCTTTTTGCACGAAAAATGGCCAATATTGAAAATGGATATTTTCTCAGACTTTTAATGAAATCGTGACTTCGATCCGCTCGGGCACTAACTTCCCATCCCAACCTCACCTGTCGAATTTTCCCTCCTTTTTGCCATTTTTCAAAGTTAGTGCCCGAGCGGATCGAAGTCACGATAGCTCAAGTGGTAGAGCAGCGGCGTATTTAGCCGAAGATCGTGGGTTCAAACCCCGCTCATGACCCTGACTTTTTTATCTCAACCAATACCTTTCATAAATATGAATTAATTGAAAAAATTAATTTTTTCCACATCCTAAATGTATTTGTTAAATTTAAACAATGTTTGTAAATCCCAGGCCCTGAAGATGATCTCAATAAAGATCGAAACGTTGGCACGATAAAGAAAATGTTTTTCTGAAACCTACATCACACCACACCGCATCTTACGATCTCTGAATAATAATTGAAAAAAGTTAATTTAACATTTATATATTATAAATTATTATAACATATATCACTTGATTTGATTTTTTATCTAGGATAAGAAAACAATAAGCTGGATTATATTAAATGAGATTGGATACATAAAATGTTACAAAAAAAAGCTAATAAACTGCCCATAAAACAATCGACCACCTGGTTTTTGCACGAAAAACGGCCAATATTGAAAATGGATATTTTATTAGATTTTTAATTCACAAACCTGCGCTAGGTCTCATTTTTTAGAAAATTTTACGCTGAACAAGTTGGCTTTTTTAAATGTTTTCCTAGCTTCAGTCATTCATCAGTGAATTCAAAAATTCGAAACATGCCAATTTTTATACTTTTTACGATAATTTCAAATTGAGCTGTGGAGCCAGTAAATCGTCCTGGAGGGCGCCTGATAGAAATCGATAGTCAATTTTAATAAGCTTTCAATTGGTCACCTTCCACTTTGCCCGATTTCTCAACCATTTTCGAGTTATTCGCGATTTTTGGTAAAAACGCGGTTTTTTACGTTCCCATGAAATAAAAAACCCGATCACTCTCTATCACTCAATTATAATTTTTTTGTTGAAATTTTAAGCTCTACGTATTTTCTTGTAACATTTTTATCTCTTAATTCAAAAATACTTTTATGCTGTCACCCCTTCTGGGATGTTAATAAGACCATTTACATAGAAATTCTTAGAAAAAGTCCGCATCCCCTAGGTCACAGGGGCTAACATGCCCGGCTTACCCGCCCGTCTCACACGAACCACCCCGACAGGGCCCAGACCCCAGATCTGTCAGTATGTATAGTGGTATTTGCAAATTTGAAGTTGAACTGAGCCTGAGGTACACTGTACCCTCAAAAAAGTAAAAAATTAAAACTAGATAACAAATATTAAACACGTTTTTTTTGAGATAGTATCATTGGTCCAAGAGAAATTCATCCAAATAAAAAGGACTCTGCATGTTCTCGGCATCTAGTGGGAGTGTCTGTTTTTGTTGGGCTTAGTATCACTAAAAAAAAGTTGTATTAAAATCCGTGATAAAAAGTCCATAGCCTTCCTTTGAAATTTATGCATTTTCCTTACATAATACGAAAACAATAAAATACAAAGCAAGTTTGCATCGAACCGAGTCATACAGGTCGAGTTTATACCCTTCTTGTATTTTAAACCAACCCTTGCTATCTCTCATCCCCGGCAGGCGTGTTAATTAATTAAAGATCAACGGTCTTCATTCGTTCCTTTTGATCCACAGGGTTCACGCAGTTTGCACCGTATCTCAATGAAAAGACGGGCCAGGGAGAGAGAAATGAAGGTAGAGAGGGTAACGGCCACTCTCCTTTCTTTCATATATTAATTCTTGCCTTTATTCAACTCCATACACTTACCGAGAAAGGTCACCTTATCACAAATTGGGTGCTATCTTCTGTAAGTACAAACCACCAATTAAATATTGTAAGTCGAATGTCATTCATGGAAAATCATGTAACGAGTTGGTTTTGATTTTTTCGACTGTGAAAACTTGATATTTTTTTAAAAATAGGTCTAGTTCAAGAAAATTATATTTTAATTTATTTACAAAAAAATCATTATTGGATTAGATATAAAATGCAATATATCAAGTTTCAGTTCAATTTAATTTTTTTTTAAGAAAAAGAGTTTTTATGCTGTTCTTAAAGCATCACTACTTGTGTTTTCATTTCAAAATCTATCGATATTTAGAATTATATTTCATTAAATGATTTCATTATATATCCCTCGATAAAAAAAATAAAACAAATATATAAAATTAATCAACCGTCTCAAGACTTAGTAGAGCTCAAAAAGTCGGAATAAACCGGCAAGAATCGATCGTTAAAAAAAATCCCTTCAAATTGTTTAAATTTACCTCGTTGGACTTGCTGTTTTAACCCTTTCATATCGGTTAAATTTGTCAGAACGGCAGAAAAATCTCAGGACGCTCGTATTAACGCAACCTCGGTATACAAACTCTTGCACCGAAATTCTTCAAAATTTGATTACAAATCGCATATTTTGTTTTTGAGATTTCTTCCCCAAGTCTAAAGCGTCCAACGTTTTCCGATCTCGGTCCGCCTATACTCGCTGTTTTGGTCCGTCGAACTGCCACCTACCAACAAACATCGAAGATAGACGGAAAAACGATCGTAAAACGTCCAGGCTTTTTTGATTTACCCCAAAAAAACCTTTAAAAAAATTGCAATATAAAAAATTTTTGTGATCATCTAATGTCATTGATAAATAATATGATAACAATAAATAATGTCAAATTTCTAATTTAACAATTTAAACGCAAAATATTTTATAATTTGATCGTTTCTTCTGTCTATCCTCTGAGACCTAAACAGGAATAATAGTCACATTTGGAAAATAATTTGACATAATATAACAATGTCTTACCTTTAAAAAAAAAAATAATTCCATCATTTTACCAGTTCAAAAATAATTAACTAGGTCATTCTAAAAAACACAATTGAAAGTTTAAGCCATTGTCATTATTCGATGAACACTCGTCCAAATAAATAAATTAAAAAAAAAAGACAGGGAAGTAAAACAAAACGCCCTTGGGACCGATTCTACCAAAAGCAATAGTGATGAATTTTTCTTTTTGTCTACTATTTCCGTAACACTTTTGGAAAAACGCGGAAACGAGCGTTTGAGTATGCTAACCCTTTTCTCTTGGAAAATGTAGGAACGGGCGTTAAGCCAAAACTTAGCGGACCACGAACAAAGATAGAATGTTAGGGCTCTCAGGCCAAAGAAGATAATCTAATTAATCCTATAAAGTAAAATGTTTTAGTATATATAAAAACTATTAAAATTGAGACAATAATATAACATATGAAAACTCGTCACATCAGAACATTGGAATCTGCCTCTTACCTAAGCCCATTTTTATTGCCCATATAACAAAGTCCTGATTTGTTTCAAGAGTGATTAAAATTTTCCTTAATGTGTTTTTAAGTCCATAAAATTTGCTTGTTTCCAAAATTTGGCAATTATTAAAAAAAATGTAATTAAAATATTGCATAAAGGTTTTCCATGTCTGGGGATGTTGCAGTTTGGAAATATGTACCCCTGCGTATGCTGTTGTTTTTAAATTATTTAATGTTTTATTGTGTTTCGCAACAGCAAAGGTCATATCAACCCCAAGAGTGTTTTTTGAAAAGAAAAGAAAAAAAAAGAGGCCCATTATTAAGTACTCTAGGTTTGAATCCAGTGCCGAGATTCGAACCAGGGCCCGTTGCGGCCATACTTGTTTTAACCCTTTGATCAAAATGGGGCTGTTTTAAACAAATTTAATCGGAAACGTGCAAAATAAACAAATTGAAAACTGCACAACATGTTTACCTCCGTTTGATCGTCCCCCTGATACCCTTGGAATGCTAGTTATTTTTACGTTCGGATATCTTTCTGTACTTGTTGATAATTCGGTGGTTATAATAAACCTATTTTTTATGAGTGTATGTGCGTGCATGGGTTGTTGAAATTTTGTGGAATCAAAACAGATCGCACCTCCGGAAGTTCAAATGAAGGAATAAAATCTCAACAAGTCAAGTTTGACGGCTCTGGCCCTTAAATTCTTATTATGTATTTACAGTAGAGTTTACAAATTTCTTTCTACCTAATTCAAAGCTAAGGGGAAAAAGAAAAATGCCGAATTATGAAATAAATTACTACAAAACATAAAAATTATGCTTTGAAGTGTTGTTCAAAAATTCCGGCTATGTTTCTTTTATAAAATAAACTTAGTTTTATTTTACATACAGTGCTCTCTCAGTAATCCGAACTAATTCTTACTTGGGAGTTTCGGATTACAAAGGGTGTTAAAAATACATATGTACAAAAAAAACAATTTCAACACAACTAATTAAGGTTTTTAGCTGAGATAAAAAAGTCAGTGTCACGAGCGGGATTCGAACCCAAGACCTTCGGCTTGATACGCCGCTACTCTACCACCTGAGCTATCGTGACTTCAAGCCCCGGTTGGTAGAGTAGCGACGTATCAAGCCGAAGGTTGTGGGTTCGAATCCCGCTCGTGACACTGACTTTTTTATCTCAACTAAAAACCTTAATTAATTGAATGATATTAATTGGTCAAGCGGACCACGAATACTAGTGAATTTCAACACAAGATTTTATTATTATGACATACATAAAACGTTAAACCTATTGGAATACATACATTGTCAATTTTTCTTTAAAAAGTCAGTTGTCAGTTTAAAAAAAAGTTATTTAACATTTTCTTCATTGCTTTTCCTTTTCACCCATTTCTGAGTTGTAGGTGCATTGTACATCCCAAGAAAACTGTAGACGGATCTGATATTTAATTTTTCAGTAGTGAAGACGAGAGAAATTCACTGAAGAAAAGAAATACTAGAAAATTTGTGTAGTCTAAGCTGGTCTTGATTTTTGAATTATCCCTCTCACTCATTCACTCTCTTTATAGACCTTACTAGGGACGTGCAGACGCTGTGCCGTCCATCCCTTAAATAGCCAAGGGTTCAATATTGGTCCTTGTAAGGCCCTCAGAGGCGCTTCTTGTCCCCCGACCGACCACGCCAATCCTCAGATCCCTCAAGGGCATTGATGACTGTTAAAATTGTCTGAAATAGTACATATTTTATATTTGGGCCATAAGTCCTCGATTCCTTGAGAAATTGTCGTAGATTAGGAAATTTCACTCTCGCCAGATTATCTTTCTTTCTTAATTGTTCCATACTACAACCTGTGATCATTAAGCCGTATAAAAATGTACCTAGTAAATTTCCTGTTTGCGCATTGATGTCAAAAACCTAAAAAGTCAATTAAGACGATCCTCGAAATGTTTTGATTTAATCAGATCTAAATGGGCGTTTGTTTACGTGGCCTTTTACAATCCACCGGAATCTAAACTAATTATAGTAAATTGCGAAATAAAGCCAGTTCTTATCAGTTATCACGATTCTCGATAGAGCCTGAAACGAAATAAGCTCCTGTCATAAATATTTTTCGACGTACGTTGCTAAAAAAAAAAAAAAAAATAATACCAGAGAATACTCTCATATAAAGTACGTAACATATAACAATATATGTATAAATATAACATAAAATAAAAATAATATAATAGTGATTTATTTACTTATAAACGCGTGATAAAATTATCTTGTTTACACGTACATGGGGCTTCTTTATCTATTTCTAAATTTAATAGTCCTTAACCAAAACATGAATAGACCTAGATCAACAAAGGACAAAGAGGACTATCCTCAGTAGACAACAAACCGAACAAAAACAGGGGGAAACAATCTTAAGATAGTCGATAGGGTTTTTTCAGTTAAAAAAAAAACTATTGTGAAATATGATGAACATTCGTGTTGTTATTTTAATTTTTAAATGTGAAATTGGTACAATTTCGCGCGTCAAGGTCATAAACACTCTTGGCTTTGTCTTGACTCCTCGCGTGTCTTTCTAATGTACTCTGTTTGCCAGCCGTGGCGAGTTTTTAAATAGAATTTTGGCTTTAAATTGAATTAAAATCCGGTGGGAGTGATAAATCACGTGACGAAATAATTTGGACGAAGTGAAAAAATGGGCATTGACAATTGTAATAACGTTTTATTTCGAGCACGTCCTAATTTCGATTGTCTGACCTGAAGGCCGACGATATATCTCTTTAATATTAATTAGCCTTTTATAGATCACATCGAGAATCCGATTACGAAAAAGAAAAGTGGGAAAACTCACATTCACAAAGTTTGACATGGTTTTTCTTCAAAATTTTCAAATTTTCTCCCGCCTGTCCTGTATAAAGTGCAAAGCCAATTTATTCGGGAGAGAAAATAATTAATTTACATCCCGTTAAGCTTTGTGAACCGTTTCAATTCGTTATTATCAAGATATGCAACCCATAGGTAACCGAGTCTGACTTTTATACAGGGTTGTTTGAAAAGATCCGGCACACATATTCTAGGGTTCTTAGAAAGCTAATTAATTTTTTTATCTTGAGATCGAACGATCATCATCATCATCATCAGTGTAATATAATAAGATTGGAGTCTTAATCCATTAATTACACTTTTATCGAATGGCTAGAAACGACTGAACTAAAGATTCCATCGCCACAAAAACCGGAAGAGAAAATTTCACAATTATTAAGTGATTAGTTCATTGAGGTTTTTGTTTTAAACTGATCATTGAAGAAGGCGAGAAGCCAAAACGCGTCTGACAGACCAAAACAACGAAGATAGAAAGATCAAAATGATCAGAAACTATCAAACTACAGGTACCATCACCCAACAGACCGGATGATCACAACATCAAAATTTTTCGAGGCGAGTTTAGCCTGATTTTTCCTAATTTACAAAAACCATTGACTCGTGTGTTTGTTAAATAATATCTGAAACCTATTTTTTCCCCTAAATCTATTT